TGGTCTTTTCGTCTTAAAGCCGGCCAGTATACAAGGTCCGCATATCCCAATAGAGAGCGTATAAGAGAGTACCTCAGTAGATAAGTAGTCTTTATACATGTAAAGTACTTTCAGTTTCCCGTACGACTTCTGCAGTAAATAAAACAAGTGAGAATCAAAAAGCAGCTTACTATCAAGAAACACTCTTAAGTTTTTACATTTGTCGACAAATTCAAGCGGAGCACAATTCAAGGAAAGTTTCAGATCATTATACTGGATAATTTCCTCCTTTTTATTGCCAAAAAGGACAACCTGGGTCTTATAATCATTTAATTTCAGACCATAGGCTTTGGAGATTCTAGAAATAACTTCAAGATTCTCATTTATGCCATTAAAAGACAAAGCTACATCTTTGACCGAGAATGATAAGTATATTTGCATATCATCAGCATACTGATGAGAATAACATTTATTTAGGTGCCTAGAGAAGTCAGAGGTAAAAATAGAGAACATAACAATAAAGGTCACAAAATGCTGTCTTGCGGAACACCCCTTAAAATTGGAAGAAGCTGCTAATCCCAACGTAACCCTCTGTCGGCGACTTCCAAAGTAACTTTTCATAAAAGTAATAGCGGTGTCGGTTAAACCGAAGAACTTTAATTTGAAAGATGAAAGAAGATTAAGAGTTAAGGTATCGAAGGCCTTGCTAAAATCCAACAAAATCAGTGACATTAAGCAGTGCTGCGGTGGTACTGTGCCCGGGCCTAAACCCGGATTGGGATTGGGAGGCAGGCAAAATATTCGAATCAGCAACATGATTATTAAGTTGATCATATAAAATCCTCTCCAATATTTTAGACATTACACTGAGTAAGCTAACAGGGCGTGTTTAGTCTTCTTCGTATATTTTCTTGGACGTTGCTTAACATATAAATCAGTTCTTCGGACCAAGAAGGCTCATTTGCCTCCATTTGATTTTATTCTTCGATAAAACCCTCCTCTCCTACACTTTCATTTCCTGTAAGTCATTTTGAGCAGCTTGAGTACTTTTTGTTCGCGGCGGACCTTTGGTCCCCCACCCCCCCACGCTCAGAATATGCTTGGTACATGTCCCAGCCACCTTAATCTTTGAGCTCTTGCAACGTTTGTTATATATGGTTCTCCATAGAGCTCTTTAAGCTCCAAATTTAGCCCTTCTAAGTCACTGATTCTCTCTCTTTTCCTTCCACAAATATTCTTCTCAACATTTTCATTTCAAATATTTCTAATGCTTCCGTTTCTCTTTTGTTGATCTTCCATACTTCACATCCATACAAGATAATTGGCCTAATCATCGTTTTGCACGCTCTTTTTTGAGACTTCTTGACACGTTCTTTGATCTTAATAAGTCAAGTAATTCCCCATACATTTCACACCGTTTACTACCATTTCTTGAATTTCATGATTTCCCTCACTAGCTACCCCTAAATAATTAAATTTTTCTACTTTTCGAAAATAACATTCCCTTTTCTCTGTTATAACCGTTAGCTGTCTATTGTGCCCACTAAACTATTTCCCCCAGTATCATAAACTTTGATTTTAGTTCATTCATTTTCAAACCTGTTTCCTTTCTATCCGCTTTATCGCATCAACTAGATTTTCCCTTATTCTGGCTAAAACCGCGATATCACTTGCGTAAGCAACAATTTGGGTTCTTTGGTTAAACATGGTACCTCTTTTCCTATGCACTGTTTCCAATAGTATAATAGTATTAAATAATGATGTCGAAAACGGATCGTTTTGTCTAACCCCAATTATTACCAGGAATTATTCTGATGTTTTTCCTTCTATTATTACTTTATAGTCCGTTTCTATTTAAATCATCTTTATTAAATTAACTGATAACATGATACTTCCAATTCCGCCCGATTCATAGAATTTAAGCTATATCATGGGCTTCTTTAAAATCAATAAACAGCAAATATATATAGGGAGCTTTTCTTCTATCCTTGATGGCGATCGCCAAATTTTTTTGTACACAGTATCCATTAATGCTACGTCTCTGTATTTATCACATAAAGTAATGAATTTTGCAGATCATTGATTCTCTCCATCTACAGGGCATTTTTTCTTCCTTCCATCTTCTTTCAATCACGTTATAGATTCTCTTCATTCTCTTCCTTAGCACCAACGGTGATGGTGGAAGGAAGGAAGAATTTTTCATATGTTTAACATGTCACACAACAAAATCGATCCATTTCTGTGAGTAATGATTACTTAAGAATTCACGAACTTCTCGATGGCAATGTGGAGGAGCGCAATCTTGTTAAAACCACATTTGTTGCATCTCAATGTTATCAACTTTTTAAAGAAGTCGAGATAAATTGTTGTGCAAAGAGTTCAAGTATCTTGACCAGTAACTTTAAAGTGTTTTATTTCACACGAGAAGTGGTGGTTTTAGTTTGACGCTCCCGTACCCAGAATGGATTAACTGTTGAATAATAACGCACGTCACCACCATTACTGCCAAAAATTTGAATCGGCCTCTATTGCTAACTAATATTACAGCAATAGTCTTAGACAGAAAGAAGGGTAAATATTGGAGAAGTGTTGTGCTGTCCAGTGCTGGTCATTGGACATTAAGTCAGATTTCAGTTAGCAGACAGCGCCCATAGTTTAGAATATTGGAAATAATATCCCATATGATAACTCATTTTGTTTATAAAAAGCTTATAATTAAAATGGTCTTGAATACGAATTATTTATTATTTTCAAAATGAAGGTCACGAATTTCCCATAAGCTTGCCAAAGTTACACATATTTGCCTTCTCTAAATTTATCGAACTTAAGACAACCTTTTCAACCACCTTAAAGTCAATTAGATGTTGCAGAGCTTCCCTTGGCCTAAAATTTGTTGTGTGTATGTCAACATCATGTTTGATTACCATCCTTTGAAGTCGTCCGGTTAAGATTAAGAACAACGACACTGTCTCAGTAAATATTTAACTACACCGAGGCAAATATAAAGCAGGACGAGTTTCAGATGGCATTACGACGAACTTGTTGCTTTTATTTAAGGCTGCCTACTTTTTCGTTTGCTCAATGCAGCAGTGCATTTATTGCTAATAAATAAATATTGGAGATGTAAAGGAACAAAAGAATTCAAATAAGGAAACAGAGATAAGGGAATTTAATAAGGCTAGGTGAGACGAGTAGTCGACTTAAGGCGGTTTTGCACATGACTTTCTTATTTATGCAAATTTTCGACGCGGATAAAAACAATATAAGGGTCACAGGATACGTGGTTATAATATTGATGTCTAATTTCGAGACACCCTGTATCTTGGTTCACTTGTTAATTTTTCTTTTTTATTTTTGTTTTTCTCAAAATTCAAATGTATATCGGATGGTTATATGAGCAACTATGTTGAATACCCCTCCACCCTTGATAATTGATATTGTGACTACAGCTCTCTTAGGTAAAAAAGACATTATGATTATAATGTCCGACCTTAAAGGTTACGACGGGATCCATTCATATTTAGACAACACTCGTAAACTCTCAACTCGCAAACTCTTGCCTAAATGACGTCTAGAAACGGGAGACAAAAGTTTCTGTCTTAAAAAAAACGCAGACATTGCACCATTATAAACAACCCTCTGTATAAAGGAAAAATCACTGAGACTGTACCGTAGGTTTTATTTGTTTTATTTTTCAAACCATCCGATATCTGCGCCGCATCTCCGCGTAACGTCCTCGCTATCTGCATTCATTAACTGCAGATCCCGGCGGATTCCCGGCTAAACCCGACTGCCACAAAGTCACAAAGCGACGAGCAAACTGTCGTTAACTATTCATATTTTGCAGAATCGAGAGGAGCCGGAAATTAACTCGAAATTCCGGTTGCATTTTCGATTATGCGGCGTGTCTGTTTCGAAGCCGTCCGGGTAGTTACCCCTTTCCTGCAACCCCTTCGAGAAGTTTGTTTCGCTTTTTTTCCCATTTTGTGGAAACGAAAGATAACATTTCGGCCATTTTGAAACAGTCATGTTTCAGGCATATGTAAAAAAGTCGCATAAACCCATCACAATGATTAAAACGTGACCAAAATAGTAAGAGTGACCTAGGTAGTCTGGCCCCACTATGTGAAATATATACATATATAAGAAGAAGAAGAAGAAGAGAGGCTAGGCAACCAAATATGCGAAAGATAATAATAACTCCAAATTATTTGAAATCAAGAAGAGCGAGACTTGGACCCCTGATTTTCATTTAATTTTTACAGACGCCTCAAAAGATAAAGAAGGCCGTGTAGGTTTTGGCGTTTACAACTACAATACGAACCTTAAAATGGGGCAAGGCCTACCAAGTGAACTATCCATTTGCTCTGCCGAGATTTATGCTATTGGTCAAGCTCTTGATTGGATTGAATTAGATGACATAAACAAAGCAGTCATCCTTTCAGACTCCAAAAGTGCCCTCGAAGATATCAATAAAACTGGGATGGATGCACAGTCTAACCACCTAACCTTGCGGGTTAAGAACAAACTAATTACCTTAATAAAAACGCAAAATAAGGACATCCAATTATGCTGGATACCAAGTCATACCAGTTTAAAAGAAAACGATATTGCTAACCAGATCGCCAAAGCTGGAGTTAATTTCATCTCACATTATTCTACTCCGCCCACTAAACCCTGATTTCATAAGCTCGATATCAATAGAAGAGAAATCACAACTATGTGTAGACTGAGATTGCTGTTCCACGGCTCACCTAAATAGAATTAAAGTCAAACCCCACTTAGACTGTGAATGTGGAGAACTAGGAAACTAGGAAAAATCACAACAGTTGTATGAGTCACTCATTAGTGGTAATTTTCCTTCGCCTCTGCATATTAATTCCATTTTATTTCACCGCACTCAGTGGATTTTGCTGCTAGAATTGTTTAATCAAAATCATCTAAAAAAACGATTTTTTTTTAATAAATTTCGACCTCCTGTACCTCGAAATCTCGAATGAGACAAAATAGAAGATACTTACCTCTTCCGGAGAAGAACTTTTCTTCGGGACGACGACGAAAGCCTTAACTAAGGCCCAAAGGACGATGAAAAACATCGGCGCACCTGAAATAAAATATACAACGCGTTCGTTAAAATAACTTCGTTATTTTTAATTATTTCCTTTTGTAAATTAACATCTACGCGTTTGCGAGGCAAATTGATGAAGGTTTGAGCAAACAAATTCAGTGCCATTAGGCGACCACAGCAAACAAAGCGGTAATCGAATGTCTAGTTACTTTTGCGGGAAACGCAAATATTTAAATTGAGCGAGGAAAAGTAATTTTCTGTTTTAAAGGTTTGAGCAAGAACTTTGAAACTACGTCTACTGCGTTACGCTGAAACATTGGCCTGAGACGAGAATGGAAAATAATACAAAAATGTTTAAAATGAAGGCCCAAAAATGTTTCATTCCAGGTCATTCGGTCAAGAAATTTCAAGGCTTTCAAATAATACTCATTGAATTAAATTAATTATGACGAAACATGATGGATTAATTGAATGAAAGAATCGTTAAATGGAGTTATTTAATCGATAGTTGATTAAATAAATTGATTGGTTTAATTATGTAATTGATTAAATTGTCGAACTTCAATGAAATTCATTATTAATTTTTAATCAGCAACAGTAATAAATCATTACATATAATTATAAAATTAATATCAAATAATTACGTAAACCAGAAATAAAATCGCAAGAAAAACAATATTTTTATACTATTTAAAGTTTTAATCAAGTTTCAACAATATTGGAAAGTTTAGAATTCACGTATTTGCTCTAATTAAATATTATCTATTTTTAGTCTACTTTATTAATCGCTTACCCCATCCGATTACCGCATAGACCCTCAATTTGAAGCTCTCCCTCGTGAGAGTTCTGACGACTAAAATGTAAAGGTACAAGCCTGGAACAAGTAATTGCATTTATTAGAATTGGTCATATTCATTTCTTGACGTTACGATTCATTCACTGGGTATCAAAGTTGTATTATAGTAAGTAGTACGTTTTCTCTTAGCAAAATCATAATTGTAGCACTATTCAAGTGAGGAGATTTTTAAGCGAGCAGTTTGACGAAAGAACTATTTCATTAAATGGTCCGATATCTTGACCTCTTAGATCCCTTGACCTTTAGCCCTTCGATTTCTTCCTCTGGAGTCATATAAAAAATGAGGTCTATAGATTTTTTGATTCTTCCGAGATTATAAAAACCTTGAGAAAAAGAGTTTTGGTTAGTTAACGGAAATATACTTGCTAGGGTTGTATGAAAAACAATAACCAATTTAAAAAAAGGTTTCGATGCAATTGTGTGATGAGATTTCGGAAATGTCCGATGTGGCTTGGATCCGCGGGATGAGAAACTCACGTGACGCTTCCCGCACGCTGGAACTTTTTTGCGAAACAACAGGAATATATTCACTGACATGACATTTCCGGGAGTTAGAGTAGCCTGTGGGAGTTTCTTTGAAAAAAAAGAAACAAAATTAGTTTGTCCTGCACTTCCGCGGTGGCACTGACGAATACGGTTTCGATATTTACCAGGAAATACACAACTGTCAACCGAGGCGAAATATAACGAGCACGACCAAAACGGCCGGCCATTATTAAAAACGCAACGTCATGCAAATCGGGACAAGTCGCGTGCCGGAAACGGGACAAAATGAACTTCCTCCGCGACTAATTCGAAATTTCCAAGGCATGCGGCCATGTTTACATTTACCGGGAGAAGGACGCTTGCTCGCGTATTCCATCGCATGTAGCACGAACGTATGGCGGACGGGGTAGGAAATAAAGTAAAAAAAAAGACGGTAACGCGAGGGCGTGAATATTAAACTCACTCGTTCCGCATAAATTGGCATTAATAAAAGCAGGAATACGGAGGCAGATAGATGGCGGTCGTATTTATGCATTAAGTGATGCAGTAGATGCAGTTTCGTTCGAGAATCCGCAATTATAATTTACAAGTGGCGCAGTGGTCGCGGACTCTCTCGTGAATGTAGGTCGGCGAACGTAAACTGCCGGTTGCTGCAAATATCCGCTTTGCTGGATTCGAACATGGTCAGATTTTTTTACGTTTCACTTTAGGTTCGTTCCAATTCACCCGAAATAGGTCAGTATACGAAAGGGTATATAACTGATAGAGACCTACGCTGATAACTCGGTTCACTTGCAACACAAAGGAAAAAAGAGAAACCAAGACAAAAGTATAAGAAAGCTGAGGATTATTGATTTCCTACATTACATCAATTCCTACGAGCAAGAGTGTCGTCATATCTGGATTTTCAGAAAAGTCCTAAAAAGTACCCTTTGCCAGACGGTATACCGGCACCATTTCTCAAAAATTGCCCGCTTTTATCGAAGCCTCTTAACATTCTCTTTAATAGATGTCTAGGTCAAGGGATATTTGCAAAAAGCTGGAAAGTGGCCCCGATAGTTCCTATTTTAAAGTCTGGTAATTCTACAGACGCCGCTAATTATCGTCCTATCTTTCTTTTGTCACTTTGCCGAGGCCTTTAAGGCTGCAATTTATTCACAATTGTTTTTTCTGGTAAAGAATGACATGGTTTTCACAAAAACTTGGTACCGTTCAACCATCACATCAATTCTTCCATGCATAATGGTCTTGAGACGTGCGCTGTATATACCGATTTTTTAAAGGTTTTTGATAAAGTACATCATGCAACTCTAATGATAGAACTTGGAAATTTCGGTGTGCATGATGCATTTGTTTGAAGAAAGGCTTAAGCAGCTAGAAGAGTGCACACTAAAATCAACATCAGATTTCCATTCGAATTGGTAGAGTAAGCCTGTCAAGCCTACAATGTAACTAACGGATTTTCGCTGTAGTATGAGTAGAACCATTTTTCCAGTCTTCTTCCATTAATCTTCCAAAGCTTGGCCGTCCGATATACAGACATTTTCACCTTCCACGTGATCGAGTAAACTAGCAAACGTCTCATCAAGAATTCGGTTATCGCCGAGGCATGCCGGAAGGTTTTAATAAGTAATCGGAACTGCTGGAACTATATTATTGACGAAAACGCGTCTGCTTCGGGACCGAACTGAGTTTCTATTAAGTTGGCATAGGTCAAATTCGACGCCATATATTCGATAGTGGTTTAATTGAAACCACATACACACGTTCAGACAAAGAAAAATTTAGTTTCCGAAATAAAAGCCCCTTCATGCTCGGAGTGCAGGTGAGTGTATACGAAAGCCCTAACTCTTTGTATGATTTAAACCTATACATACGAATGCAAGTATTACATATAGGAAAGTTTTAATTACACCTACGTATGATCATAATAGGTCAAGAAAGGGGTGACAGGAAGAGAAACAGAGATTGAGAAAGACACACAAAGAGCGAGAGAGATGAAAAAAGGGAGAGACTGAGTGAGAAAAATGCAAAACAGACGGGTGAAACTTCGTACGCCCGCCACTGGGGTATTTAAAAAAAAGTGGTATGGTCTGTTCATAGATATGAGAAAGTGACCAATTGCTTTTGAATGGGATTATCCAGTAACGTACAATGCAACAAGATTATTACCTAAAGTTTCGGAATTTAAATTCAGGTAAAATTATGGTCCATAATAGAAAACAATCTAGGGCATACAGTATACCTTACCACTCTATATTTAATCCCATTGCACATATTTGGAACCAACTGAAATCTGCCATTCGTCGTAAAAATGTTTTTTCCCGTGTTAACTCCAATGTCCTCAAACTTATAGAAATCGAAGTTTTTAACATCCCTCCGCAAAGTTGGGTAAATTCTATTAAACATATAAAAAAAGCAGAATATCGTAGAATCGTATATCCATATTGCAAATAATATAGAACAAATAATAATGATACTGATATATTATGTGAATAATTTTAAGTAATTTAAGTAGGTAATAAAAATAATTTATAATTTTATTTTATATTTAAACATAAATACATAAATAAATAAATATTGATTAGTACCTTTCCGCACAAAACCCCAAATAATTAAATTCTAAGCAAAGTACGGACCTGTTCGGCCATATTTCATTCTTGCCGCTTGCCCGGGTCTTTCCTTAATTCGTATCAATTAGTCACTTTCTTATATCTATGAACAGACTTTACACACTTTTGATACATAGTACATGTGTGCCAAATTTTATGAAAATTTCTAAAGTTGTATTAAAGATATTAAAAAAATATATTTTATTATTGAAAATTTGAACACTTTGTATCTTAAAAGTATACGACATGTTCATATGAAGTTTTATTTTTAAGAAGGACTCTGCATGTCGCCTGCAGGTTTATAATGCTGGCCTGATTTTTCACTTGCTTTTCCGTAGCAGAAATGCATATCGCGATATCCAGTATCACCCTTCTGTAAATGAAAAGTGCGGGGTATTCCGACCGAGAATAAAAAATCGATTTTTGGCTAAACATGAGTAGCAATTTGTGGGGATTTGTGATTCTGCTTAAGGCAATGTGTCCCATATTGCAAATCACTCAAAATAAATAAAATACAGGAAAAAAAAGGTTCTTGGTAAAGTGCCCTCTAGTGACAGATTTCTGAAACACTTTTATTTTGTAACGATTACTTTTACTAAATCATGACTTCTCCAAATTTCCGAACTCAATTTCCGAACACCCTGTATAGATTTTTAATTGGAACAAATTTGTTTCAATTGTTTTCTGCAATAAGCTAACACCTAAATCTAAAAGTTATATGTTATGATATACAAAATGGTTCGTGGGTAATAGAAGCGCGTAAAATAAGCCCCAAATCTGTATTGTTTTATTTTTTAGCTATCTCGGGGGACTCAAAATGGAGTACGCTGTTATATAACCAAATAATGCCACATTTTATATTTAATTTTGAATCTCCCTGTACGATGCGATTAATGGGCGTCATTTTGGAAAATTTGCTTTTATGGACGTTTCTATCTAGGTTACGCGTAAAGGTGAAAACTGATCTGGACAGGACAGATTTTTTTTTTCTCACAAATTTTGCTATATAAAACCTAGACTTGGGTTTTTTAAATGAAACAGATTGTATGTCCTTTAATAATTTTACTAGGTGCGTTATTATAGTTCATAAAAAATGTATAACACGCCAGTGTTTTATATATCTTTAATTTTATTTTTTAAAGCAGAAGAAGAAACAATTTACCATAAAAAGTGTGTGCCATATATTAATGATCATAATATTATATCAAATTTCTCATGATTCTCATATTTTGGGCAAACATGTTCCATGGCAAAATAAAAAGACGGTAAAAATAAAAATTACTATTACGCATAGTCACGACTGGTTGACAATAAAGTACAATATATTTTCTATGAATTTCATGAAACCGGCAGCACGCTGGCACTATTAATGAGGGCGTGCTAAAACCATCAAAAATGGCACACGCTGTACATAATTTTTTATATGCGATGCCATAAGCTACTATTCCTGCACATATTTCAACTGCATTCCACCGTTCTTTGCGAGAAAGATGCGAAACTCTTTTTAAATGCGGCAGCGGTTTCCGGTAGCCGTGAAGGATCTGAAAAGTCACCCTATTCTTCCCCTGCATCCGCCCGAAAAAGTTTTAATAGATTCTTAAATGGTTTCCTGGCAGCGCTGTCCGAACGTCGGATGATTCAGATCGATTTTTCTTCTGCAGGAATAAAATTTCGTCCCTGTCTATCGAAGATGCAATAAAATTACGAATGGATTTCTTAAATTTTTGCTTTGGGGTCAATCTTTTTTTTTTGTGTGGGTTTGATATTGAAACATCAGTCTGTCATTTTTATGAAACAATTTGCTTTTGGTATGGGTTGGGTTTTTATATTCTGCTTATAGAATAATGAAGAGCACCACTTAAATTGTACGATGCGTCTCTTACCTTCTACGAACATCCAGAAGAAGGTTGTGATGTGGAAATAATGAAGCAACGTGACCGCGAATACGCACGTCACTACACCCAACTGGTTGCGAAAATTCATCTGAAAAAAATTTTTTTTAATGTAGGGGTGTCTGTTTTTTTTTAGATAGATTTTACAGAATTTTAGGTTGTGTTTTCGCGTTAACTTAAAATGTATGTTTTATATAAATACGTACATATTTTAAATATTTCCTTTTTTGCTTTAGTAAATTAAAAATTATATACCATTAATTGCGATTTGGAAAAACTGAAGACGATAATTTAACTTAAAAATTAATTTTGATTGCAAAAAGATGTAAAAATGCAAGGGAAATTAAAAAAAAACTAGTAGTAACTAGTAAAATTTAACTAGAGAAATCGGGTTTGTGCCTATTATTTGCTATTTTTTCAATTTAACCCATAACAAATAAGTAATCTGCGATAAAATCTACTTACCATTTCTTATTCGATAAATAACCAAATTGACAATTTAGACAATTTTCTGATATTAAAAAAAAAAAAGTTTCAAAATTTTAAATACGAATTTTGAACCAATGTTGTGATAAAATTTTAGCTTTTTTGGAATTTCAACAAAACTTGAAAAACAAAGAATGCATACATTTCTAGGCCGTCTGTCGAATTTTCAGTGTGTAGCTTAATTTTAAAAACACATGTCGGAAATAAAAAAGCATTTCAAAAAACTGCATTTAACAAAATTCACAATTTTTCAGTATGAAACGCGAGAGAAAAATAAATTTTGCATATTCACGTACAAACACCAAGTATAGTGCTCTAACAAATAAATGGGTTTGCGACAAAACTTACCTGTGCCGGTCAGTGCAGGATTGGACCAGCTTATTAACTTAAAATACGTTTTAAAATATTTGGCCTTTATTTGCACAGCATACACTTTTTTTTTATAAAGAATACATTTAAAAATTCTACATACCATGTTGTTGATGACTCTGATAGTAGCCTATTGTGAGGAATGTTATGTAGAAGAACTATTGTTCAAAAAGTTTTTGTCTGACCGTTTTCTGACTCAGTATACAGGGTTTTTCACTTAAAACTCCGCACGCCAATAAGTCCAAAACGAAAAGAAATATTTAATTTATGTAAAAAGTAGTCAAAGTGGGGGGTCAAGTAGATATTTCCTAAAGTATAAAAAATTCGACGCCTGCAAAGAGCTGGGCGTCGCGACACGTCGAAAAATTATTCGATTGCAGAGACTTTGGAAATACGCGCATACAAAAGTACATATTATTTAAAAACTTTTTTGTTATTTACTCAAACTTATTTACTTCACCTGTTTCTAAGTTATACCGATTTAAAGTAAACATTTCTTGATTAATAAAAAATGTGATTAACGCTTATTTTTACAAGTATGCCATGAATGTTAGTTACTATGGCAACCATTGTTATCGCAGTTGTTTTAAGTGCAATTACAAACGTAAGTTGTTATTGCTGTATCAAAAAATTGTCACATTTTGTCACAAGAAATATCCAAATTTGTTCGGTTAAAAAAAAACTAAGAATTATTATGTGAAAATGGTGCAATTTAGCAATGAGGAAAAAGTAGACATGTTACTGGTGTTTGGAGAATGCAGATGAAATTGTAGAGAAGCGAAAAGAGTTTACGCACGGCGTTATCCGCATAGAAGAGTCCCCGATGCAAAAACCTTTTCAAGTTTATGTAAAAACTTAAGAGAATATAGCAGCTTCATAAAACCTAAAAGAGATAGGAACAGGACGGCTACAAATGATGAAAATACTGCTGCTCTAATTCAGCAGGTTGATAATAACCCCAAGATATCCCTATCAGAGATAAAAGAAAATACCGGTGTTACCATAAGTTCTTCGTGGATAATTCTACATAGAAACTCTTTTCACCCGTACAAAAGTAAACTAGTTCATAAACTAGAACCAGGCGATTATGCTAGAAGAATGTATTTCTTAGCGACATTGTCCGATTTGTATAGCCAATTTTCTCTCGAAAATTTTATGGAGCGACGAAAGTCGATTTCAAAATAATGGAATCGTTAATAGACACAACTGTCGTTTTTGGTCCGAAAACCATCCTCGTTGGATTACAGAAAGAGGTAACCAACGAATTTTTAGTATCAATGTTTGGTGCGGTATATTAAATGGATTCGTTATTGGACCTTACTTTTACGAAGGAACTTTAAATGCAGATCGCTATTTAAGATTTCTTCAAACTACACTTCCGGAACTATTAGAAGAAGTGCCTCTTGACACTAGAATGAATATGTGGCTACAGCAGGATGGAGCGCCTGCACATAATGCCCAAATAGTAACGAGGTATTTGAACCTAGAATATCCCAATAGATGGTTTGGTACTAATGGACCGGTAAGGTGGCCGGCGAGGTCGCCGGACATTACACCACCAGATTATTTTCTTTGGGGCTACCTAAAAAACGTTATCTATGAAGAACCTATCGAAGATATGGCTGATCTCATTAACAAAATTAGTGCAGCGTGTGCCGCTATCACAAGAAGGACTCTCCTACAAGTGACCCAAGCTCATCTGTTAAAAGTTTTTGATAGTTGTGTTCGAGCAGATGGACATAATTTTGAACAAAATTTTGGAAATGTCTTATTATGTAGTTAATTGCAATAATAATTTTGGTTATTAACTTGTAGGTATTTTACTGTTTTTTCATTTATTTATCATGTTATCAAAACTAAATCGATAAAAAATAATAAATAAAATCATACTAAAATAGTTGAAATCTATTGATTGTAATTGCACTTAAAACAACTGCGATAACAATGGTTGCCATAGTAACTAACATTCATGGCATACTTGTAAAAATAAGCGTTAATCACATTTTTTCTTAATCAAGAAATGTTTACTTTAAATCGGTATAACTTAGAAACGGGTGAAGTAAATAAGTTTGAGTAAATAACAAAAAAGTTTTTAAATAATATGTACTTTTGTATGCACGTATTTCCAAAGTCTTTGCAATCGAATAATTTTTCGACGCGTCGCGACGCCCAGCTCTTAGCAGGCGTCGAATTTTTTAAACTTTAGCAAATATCTACTTGACCCCCTACTTTGACTACTTTTTACATAAATTAAATATTTCTTTTCGTTTTGGACTTATTGGCGTGTGGATTTTTAAGTGAAAAACCTTGTATACAATTGACACTCTTTTCCCCCAACTTTCTTCAAATAATTCATTTGCTGCAGCATAAAAAGAGTTGTAAACAGGTTTTACAATTTTCTTGGCAACGAGAAATAATTAATTAATAAAACACTGTGTCTATCAGTAGGGATGTCCCCTAACGGACGAGACGTAACGATGTTTCTAAAATCAATATTTGACAAATCAACAACGCAAAAACATTGTTCACTATCCGTGAGATATTAGATATATTAATGAGCTTGATGAGAGTGGTGTAAAATTTTTATATTTTTCAACCAGTGATCATTTCCGAGCAATTATTTTTCATAATTTTGGGCGTGGACTAACAAGAAAATAATGCAAGATATGACTTATCGTGAGATTGAGGCATCTTTTGGCATTAGTATGATCAGCATCAATAAGATATTGCACGATCATTTGGCTGTAAAAAAGATTTGTTCCCATTGGATTCCGGAAAATTTGACAAACGTTCAAAAAAAGGCTAGCCTGAAATAAAACAGCAATCGACCGTGTAGGTCTTCCAAGACGAACAAAATTGAAAAAAGTTGTTCGCGGAATTAGCACTTCAAAGCAAATGGTTGACTGTTGGTTCGGTATATTTCCGTCTATTCCTGTATAATTCCGAATAATACATAACTATTCGTTTGCAAGCAGAAGAGACGAATCATACATCATCATGACAACGCGAGCTCTCACACATCAACTAAAACAAAAGAATTCTTGACCAGCCAAAACATCGAATTGACGGACCATCCGCCGTACAGCCCTGATTTGGCTGACTTCTTTTTATTCCAACGCATGCAAAGGTGCATTAATCTTCGTGGAGAACATTTTGAAAGACAGTAAAATCAATTTCGATGATAAATATTTGTTTTTTCATTATTAGGCCTTTCATATAATAAGTGATGTAAATTTACAACTGTAAGCGGTACTTTATTGATGTCATTAGGTCAAAACCATTTATTTATCTATGAAAGCACTATACACTCAAAATTTCTTCCGCTCGTACGTCTTCGCTTCCTGCAGGCGCAAAAACTCTAATTAAGTCGCAAATTCTATTAACCTTCACCCTTTTTTCGGGCGCATTGTTTACAAACCTTTGAAATTGCCGCGAATTGAGATCCAGGTAAATAGATAAAACGTTTTCTAAACGAAAAGCAATTACTAAGTTCGCGAAAACTTTTGCTCGCGGTCTTTCGTTGATTCCCAATTTCGAATAAGCTCTAATTGCTTCGGGAAAGGTCAACTCGTGCAATTTTAATATTTCCATTTGGTCCGAATTGTTTTCACGTTTCCATCGACTTCCGGTCGTTAAAGAAAGAAAGTTCTTCGGAAGGCAATCGAATTAAACTTCAATGTTCATTAAGGGAGTTTAAAAGAGCTACAAAAATTACATTCGGGGTATAATTTTGTTCATGTTATTCTTATTTATGAACGGTTAAATCATGAAGGCAATTTATAATAATAATAATTATTCTTACACATTATCTAGTAAAATAACATTAATACCAATCTAATTTAACTTTTTAAAGAAGCTCGAACATTGATTTACTATTGAACTGAAGTCTTTCAATACATACTGCATAATAATTTCATAAAAACTGGAAATAATGAACCATTTATATATTTTCTGAAGAATGCCAAAATACTGATTTTTTATTCCTAAATAATAACGATAAATATATGTAATAAGACATTTATTGAAAAACGAAAAAAAAAAGTGACTACTAAGTTAACGGTCAGATTTAACGCATTGTTACATGACTAAAAACAAAATAGATTAGATTAGATTATCCATATTATCAGAACCAGAACCAACCAACCAAAAGATCAGTGAAGCAAAACGCAAAAGATCTATTATTTGGAATCTTACCTCTACCAGAATGATAATCCACATGATATATGTTAGCACGTACGACCACATCAAGTTCATGTGGATTTTGTTTCGTAGACATCTCAGTTCTCTGAAATAAAAAGAGAAAATATTGTGTTCATTGTTTCTTAAATAATTGAAGTAAGTGATAGAATAGTATCATTTTAACCAAATGGTTTATATAAACATGTGTTCGATATCGATCGAACTCTACTCGATCCATTTTCAGCTCATAACTTAAGTTCAATGCCAATAAGTCAGTGGCTATATTATTTAAATCGCAAAAACAAAATGGCAATTGTCTCTGCCAAGAGACTTTATCAATATCGTGAAATAGTGAGTTCAAACGTTAAATTATCTCAAAGTACTCATTAATTATATTATTATTGTTGTTATTGTATTTTGATTCAGTTTATAGTGGCACACTCCCGAAAGCCATTAAAAAAGTAAAAGAGCTTGCTAATATGGAACATTAACATTTGGGAATAGAAAAAAGATCAAACATTTTTGCGCAAAATTATATTGGAAGTGGACCAAATCCTATAAAGTTGAGTCACGTTTTGTGGAGGAAAATAAGAAATGGTTAGATTACCCCTTTGATTTTCTAAAAACTCATCTTAAAGGTATTTAAAAGATATGAATATACAGAGAGCATACGGAAAATTTTTGTACTATATGGAAGAAAAAAATATTTTTAAAATGTTTTTGTGACTTTTTTCCATTTTTAACGATGTATATTTTCCAACTTCAAAGCAATAAACCTATAAATAAAAGTTAACTAAAGCTTAGTTAAACAATTTCTTCTTAAAGTGCTCGTTTTATCTGGCATCAGAATTACAAAGAAATACCAAAATATTTAAAAATGTTGTTTGGCTATGACATTTCTATTTAAAAAGTTCATAGTTGACAAGATTTTTGTTGTACATATTTTATTTAGATTTTAAATAAGTTACAGTTTTGTTGTTAACCTATAAACTTCAATTATTTATTTGTTTAAAAAATACCTAATATTGCCAACAACTGACCTAATGTGGGCAGCATTAAATTCAACAAGAATTGCTATCTTAAACCCCGAATATATCAAAAAGTAAATCAAATTTAAATATAACATAAGCTATTATTATTATGAAAATAACACATTACCTCAATTTTTGCCTGCCTTATGCAAAATTCGAATAGGAATTTCTTAAGCAAGTGACCTTTATTTCAACCAAGGATGTGGGAATATATAGGGTTTTCCATTTAAAATAACAACACCCTGTATCAACGGAATTATAATATTTTAAATATTCAGGAGATTCTTTTTAACGGAACTTTTTTCCGTATCTCCTATGGGTTTCCAGATCGTATTGTGGATTGTTTTATTTGGCACACGGTGTACCTATTTTTAAAACGATAAATGTAATATCTCAAAAAGTAATTTTGCATGTTAGAAAAATTGACAACATTGAGAAAATGAGAGCAATTGTTTTTCCATTAAAATATGAAAAATACACAAAATCTTTGTTGGCAAAATTTAGAACCAGCAGCTCCCCCTTACGTCGCCGACGGGGGAGCCACGGAACACGCTGACAAAGGGGAATTTGCCAAATCTCGATTGACAATAATTATTAAATTCGAAAAATTTAATAAAGCCGTGCGCCGATTCGTTTTTCTGATTTGCTCAAAAATTCCGACGAGAGATAAAAAAATCGTCGAATCGAAAAAACGCCAAAAGCACGCCGGAATGAATCGTAGGAGAAAAAAATAAATTCCCGATCCACGTCGGAAACAAATCGGGCGTGAACGGATACGTGTGACATCTCGTCGTATTTGTTAGATTTGCCGGTGTCATTCGGTGGCTTGGATTGCTTTTTTTGTCCCATATTCACATATTTTTATTCAACGCGTAAACGAATTTCGTTCCGGATTCGCAGCTGGCTTTGCCCGCCGACGCATTTACGGAGTGTCCCGAAATTAGTGGGTCAAAGTACAGTGGACTTCGGATATAGTAAACCCGTTTATTGTGAACACTGGGTTATAATGAACACTTTTTAAAATACACTCAAAAAATCTCATAAGACAAATGTAAATATTTACTGTTTATAGTGAACTCGGATATAGTGAACGAAATTTCGTCAAGATTAAAATACATTTTCCGTTTTTAGTGAACTTTTTCGGGGGTTCACCCGGTAATATCGCGGAGAAAGGTTAAAATATATACCACATTCGTTTTGTTATTGTTTTGATCTCAGTTGTGATTTAGATTTCGTGGAAAATACTGATGACAAATGGAGAAGCAAATTAAGAAAAATACGATGTTATACAAAAAATTAGTGGTATGAAACAAAATCATATTTGTCGTGAAATGAATTTGCCTAAAGCAACTGTCTCGACTACCTGGAAAAAAAGTTGTAAAACGTTCAGAAAATCAGCTTATGAGGGCGTCAATAAAGGACTTTTACAGTGAATTACCCAAAAAAGAAAACAAAGTGTTCCCGTAAGTGGTGCAGTTCTTCAGCAAAAAGCAAGGGACATGGGAAGTCGAATAAAAGCAAGAGATTTTGTGCATTTCAGAAGTTGGATTGAACGTTTTAAGAAGAGAAATTGTATCTCTGGAGGAAAAATTGTTGGTGAGTCCGCATCAGTTGATATGAATGTTGTTAATAGCTGGCTCACAACACAATATTTTTAACGCCGATGAGACCGGCCTTTTCTACAAACTAACCAATGATAAGACATTGACATTCCAAGGAGAGAGGTGTGCAGGTAGAAAATTGTCCAAGGTTCGACTAACAGTTCTGGTTACTGCAAACATGTCTGGGACAGAAAAGAGGAAGCAGTTTGTTATCGACAAATTAGTAAACTCAAGATGTTTTAAAAACAAGACCCTACCAGTCAAGTACAGGTCAAACGGCAAAGCGTGAATGACATCTGACTTATTTACCTCCAATGGGATACAGAATTGAAGAACAGAAAAATTATTCTTCTAGTAGATAATTGTCCAGCACATCCCAATGTTCCGTTGAACCAAATCAAACTGGTTTTTATACCACCCAATACCAATTCAAAACTTCAGACATAATCCAATCCCTGAAGTGTCACTATAGGAAGATTTTGCTGATAAAGATGATAGAAGCAATTGATGATGGGCAAGAGTTTTCAGTGAGCTTATTGGATGCCGTAAATTTTATTCAACGTGTTTGGCAGGAAGTTAGCGAAAACACTATTGCAAACTGTTATATATGCATTATTCTTTGAAGCAGAAGATAATTTTGCCTCTAACGGAATGGCTAAGAAAACATTCAGGAGATCCAAAAAATACCCAGAAAGCCCTTGCAGATTGAACATTTCGACTTCAAAAGTTACGTTTCAATAGACGATCAAGCGAATCTTTGACAGAAGACGAAATTATCCAGTTAGCGTCAACAGGAATCTATAACAGGAAATGTAACATTAAAATAATGACTGATTTACGTTTTTTTTTTTTAATGCAGAATTGAGTGAAAATGAGCACAACACTACTTTTATTTTTTTATTTAAAAAATCCTTGTTTTGGTAATTGAATTGAAATAATCTTTTTCAAGTAGTTTGAAAACCGCAATTCCTTGTCCATTGTCAATTTTTTTTAATGAAACATTATACTGAATTACTTTGTCATTTATGTAAGCAGAAAGGAACTTTTGTCTTTTTTAAGTCCAAACGATGTAAAAACGGACGTGTTAGCGTTTAGTTGCAGACAGTGCTTCTAGAAAATGTTTTGAATATTATACAAATCGTGATTAACAGCTACCAGCGCCTGTGCCGATTCCTAAAATGATAAATAAATTTGTGCGTCATCGGCCTAATAATTGACTTAGGCACGAAAAACATGACAGAAAAATTTGAAATATACATAGAGAGAAAAGGATCGGGCCTAATATAAATTGAGATATAAAAAGAAGATAATTTGGAGTTGTATGCTACTGCTTGACTGCAATAACTGAGATAACTAGAAAGTAGATTTACTGGGTTTACAGAAAAACGTAAAAAGGAAAATGTAAAAGTGCGGTTAATGGAGAATGATTGAGCGTTTCAAAAGCTTTTGATTAATCCAAGAGAACAGTAAGTTTACCTTCATCTAGAACTTCAAAAACATGACCAGTAATTTTCAAAAGGGCAGTTGTGCAGCTTTAAAACCTGATCGATTTACCGGTATAATAGAATTGTTATTCAAATACTTTTGAAACTGATTGATCTGATGTTAAAATTCCTTGGATTTGGTAGTTTAGGCAGAGGAATTTACCTGACGAGATATTAATTATTATAAAAGGAAAAATGAAGGTTTGAAGCGGACAAAACAAAAGGCATAAAATATATGGGAGAAAAAAAAAGATAGATTTACTTTTGAAAGCAAGTTCGATCGAACCGACGCAGGAGGAATTTAGAAGATTTATAAATAGTATTTGCAGTTCAAAACTTCCTTAATTTTTTATAATTATGCGATATTTTTTGTGACGAGTGTACATGCCGCCCCTTAACGGAGTCATAGGCATTAAAGATACTAGACTTGAGAATAGTGTTTTATTTAAATTTGTTGAGAAAGTTTTGAAATTTGATTCTAAAATGATAAATGTCAAATTTTGGTAAGGGGCGCAAATTTTGAGGGGCACAGGTAATACAGGCAACGACAACTGCAATAACTTTTTCGATAGCGATATCACTAGGATGGATCATTTTCGAGGAAAATGGAATTAAAAAATGTTTACCATGTTTACCATGCCCATCTTGTTAATTCATCATAAACTGCAAAGTAGGCCTTTGTTAAAAGTTTGACAATTGTGGTAGGTTTTTGTGAAAAAAAGAGAATTCATTTTATTGCAGAATGTGGATCATTTAACAAAATCAGTTTTATTTATTTCACAAATAACAGTACCAACCGCAACAATTATCGGTCGTAGTTATTATCATGAAGAAACATTTTCGGAGACCATTTCAGACACGAGGCTGATTCAGTCCGAAAATTTTAGGCCAAAACCGGTTGAAAATTGGGACGTCAGCTGTCAGGGAACTTTTCATTTCTTAAACTTTAGGACAAAATACATCCGTTGCTATGGCAGTCTCTCAACAAAATCAATGGTAAAATTTTTATGTCCTTTTTGTATGTATTTTGTTGTTCGGAAAGTCATTTCGTTTTTTTTGGGGAACATGAAAGACAGTTTTCGTATAATGAATAAATATTTTATTAAATTATATATTGGCCATTCTGGTCCAACACCTTTTGCCATCTTTCTAGCAGTAACATAATTCCCCTCTCATAAAAGTTTTGGTCCTTGCTGGCAAAAAACTGGTTCAGGTGGTTTTTGACATCTTCATTTGAGGTAAAGGTTTTGCCATCCAAAAAATTTTGCAGGGACCGGAACAAATAGTAGTCGGAAGGCGCCAGATCTGGAGAATATGGTGGATGTTGCAGTACGTCCCATTCAAGCTGTAAAAGTTTTTTGCGAGTGACCAAACTTGTGTGAGGTCTCGCATTATCCTGGTGGAACACTACACCCTTCCTGTTGATTAATTCGGGCCTCTTCTCTTTAAGTGAATCATTCAATTTGTCCAGTTGATGACAATAGACTTCTGAATTAATCGTTGTATTGTCCGGCAAAAGCTCAAAAAAAACGATTCCTTTGACATCCCACCAAACGGAGAGCATCACCTTTTTTTGGTGAATGTTGGCTTTTGACACGCTTTGAGCCGGTTCATCTTTTCTGCTCCATGACCCCTTGCGTTTAACATTGTTGTATACAACCCATTTTTCGTCCCCAGTAATAATCCGCTTCAAAAATGGATCATTTTCTTGACGTTTGAGGAGCGAATCACACACGTCAACGCGACGACACAAATTTCGCTCCGTAAGGACATGGGGCACCCACACATCGAGCTTCGAGGTTAAGCCCATGCCTTTTAAATGGCCATAAACAGTCGAATTCGACAAATTTAATCTCTCACCGATCTCTCGTGTGGTTATTCGCCGATTTGCATCAACTAATGCCTTTATCGCATCTTTGTCAGCTTCGACCGGCCTTCCAGACCGTAGTGCATCTTCGACATCAAATTTGCCGGATCGAAATTTTGCAAACCAGTTCTGGCACTGGCGTACTGTTAACACGCCTTCTCCATACACATCCGTCAATTTTTTTCTCGCTTGGACAGCATTTTTACCTTTTCTGAAGTAAAAAAGTAAAATATGACGAAAATGCTGCTTATTGCTCTCCATATTTAAAAGGGCACCAACCAAAAACTACTGCGTAGAATTAATAGAACTTTTTCACACACAAGCCTTGCAATATCAGCTCTCAAGACATATAATGGTTATGCGGCTTAAGTGTGAAGTTGGTTTCGAAAAAACGTAATTAAGTCCTCTGACGGGAAAAAAAGAAATGACTTTCCGAACAACCTTATACATTTGGAACTAATATAGTGTATTATGCAACAAGTGCGGTAAACAGCATTTGACACACGAGTTTATTTGACACGAGCGGAGCGAGTGTTTAATAAACGAGTGAGTTAAAAAGTTTACCGAACGTGTTGCATACTATACTTTTTCTACGACCGTTAGTTTTTGGGTACATTTTCGCACGATAACACGAATACATTCACTGACATGATCGTCTGAATTTACAAACGTCAAAATTCAAGCTGTGCGGCAAAATCTCCGAAAACATCCGATTGCTCCCAAACCCGTGCGGTAAAATCCCGGAAATGTCCGAAGTGACTCGGATCCGTGGCAAACGAAACTGACGTGGTAAAGTGACGCTTCCCGCAAGCTAGATCGGTGTGTAATTAGGTATTTTACAGACGGGGGTAGAAAAAATATATTATTACTATTTTACTGTTGCTATTATTTAGACTGCGAATCAAATGTACTAAATTATTTAGACGATTTTTTTTCTCACCCACAACTTTAGGTAAGTCGAATTGGCTAGTCTAACGCCTTACCAACCTCGCCTTAGTCAGAAAAACGCACGTGGCGGACGAGTTAGAGATAAACTTCGAAATTGGTCGTTATTTTTAATTTCCCCGGAAAAATTAAATCGAGGCATCTAACCAACGACGCGTATCAAAGGGCCGAAGGGTAAATATGTCTGGCGCCGAAACGAAGTCTTCATTTATTTTTAATAACGTCAGTGTACAAGGTCTTTTCGCGGATATTATTTCGAGACTGCTTTTATAAAAGCCGTAACCTATTCTGGAACATTCCGATACACTTGCCATGAACTTGCGTCGTAAAATTTTTATGTAGAGCGGAGACGAGTCGTTTGCGTTTTATTTTTTGCTTCGATGCTGACCCACCACAAACGATCTTTTAAAATGAGAGGGATGCGTGATTTAAATACCGTTTTCTAATCTGGAAACTTTGCGTTGTTTTAAAAATACACATTTCTCTTAGTTCCTTACAAGTTTAAATTTTAAAATTGATATCTTGGAAACAGCAGATAATGTACAGGGTGGCGTATTTAAAAGGGGCCTATCCCTTATCTCTAAACCTACGGGGATTAAAAAAACAATTTATATAGAAACGTTGTTTCTATTAAAATGACTTTTATTATTTTTTATTTTCCTAATCGTCACTTTATTGTGGTAAAACAAAGTTAAATTTTTTTTTAATAGAATACCCTACATTATTTATTTTTTTACGAAAATAGTGATCAAATTCAAAATATTTTCCTAAAAGATGCGTTATTGCCATGTTTCACAAAATGTCACAAAATGATAGCCACTTTAATAGCAATTTCAATTATATAACGTAGTACGGGTCTCTGACTTACCGTTTTGGCTTAATTGACAATTATTTTCCAATAAGACATAAATTCTTTTACATTCATAATTTAAGAATTTTGTAAATAAGGTCCTTAAATGGAAAAACTTTAAAAAAATATTCATATTCTTAATAATATAGACCACATGTCTTTAAAAAATATAGAGAGACCTGCCTGTTGAAAGACACTAACACAAAGTTGGTGATATTTTTAATTTTGACCTTTTTGAAATAATCATCGCAGTAGCTTTGAAAACAATAGGAGTTCTCTGTTGTGGTAATATTACTGAATTTTTGATCAGTATATTATAATATTTTAAGCGTATTTTTCCGTACTTCCATATTTTTGTATTTGTTTTATGAAGTAGCAGTAGTAGGCTGTACTTAACTCTGATCTATGCAGTTTTACGGTATCTATCTAGGTAGCTATGATCAAATAAAAACAATTGCTATGATACACAAGCCCATATAGCTCAAAAACGCCTTGACATATCACGATGCGGTTTTCAGTTTCTGACTTCTCTCGAATATCGAGCCCGTTTTGGACTAACTATGCAGCAAATGCTTGAAGCCATAGAGGTGCCTCGACTTTGGACCACCATGTAGTACATAGTAGTATGCCCCAGTACAAAAGTCGACGTACTTTTTGAACACATCCCGTATATAACTCGAAATTTTACACTAAAATTTCGAGTTGAAAGGAGAAATTTTAAAATTTAGCCTGGAAACACCAAGTCTTGTTGCGAGTATCAATACCAATACCAGTTGAAGAGACTTACTTGAAGTAGGTGAAAATAAATATTGCTATCGCTAGAGTAAAAGCACTCAGCACGAATCCCGTGACGTAAATGTTGACCTGGGTGTTGACGATGTCCACTGGAAAAGGATCGATTTCCTTGCACTGGCTGTAGTTCGTTTTCGACCAAGTGCCGTTCCACAAACACTTCCGTGTAGCGTTTTCTGAAAGAAAAACAATATAAAGATTTACTTAATCTGAAACAAATAGCGGCCTTTAATTTGAAAATAAATTACTGAAACTCATTTCTAAAGGGTGCGGAGCGGGGACGCTGCTGGCAATAAACAACTAGAAATACAACAAACGTCAACAAGAAACAAATGATTTTTTATTTTAGTGATCTGGATTATTCAGTGGGGAGCGTCTTGACGAATAAAATTTATTCAGCAGATCAACTATTTCTGTTTATTTTCCAACATCTTAACAAGAAATTCATTTTATCGTATTCAGATTGCAATGTGGAAAGCCCTTATTAGTAGAAGGTCTAATTGAATTCAAAATATGTAAGGAACCAGATATCAATAAATCAAAGTATAATGTTGTATTGTGCATTCAAACTAGCAAAATTTAAAAATACTATATCCACATAAACCCATACAAACTCATATATAAACAAACCAACCATTCGAAATTTTATTGCAATTGGTCCCTTTCTATCATGGTCATCGCTCGTTTTTAGGCCAATTTAGGAATTGGTGTTCAAAAAATAATAGTCCTAGCAGAATACTATCCCCTAATAAAAGTTCCATTAAAATGATATCTACAGTGTTTAAAATTGTATAAATAATCCTCAAATCGCATATTTTGTGTTATGATTTTTTGGGGCCTCACTTAATCTGTCGCCCTCCTCCACTGCAATGATTTAAATAAAAGATATTCAACCTCAAAACTAAGTAGAATGTCGTCTAGATCTAAATTAATGCTTTTTAGGAGAATTGAGCACCCAACTGCAACTTGTGGTGAAAGGTTTTAAAATTGAGGCTTGATAGTTTGCCGAAGAGTATACTGGTACCAACTGTGTCGAAGAGGTAGATTGGTTTTGTGAATTTTAGGAAAAGCCTAGAGTCTAGGCATTTTAGAGTTTTGAGAAGTGACTGCCTTTCTATGGATTATGGAAGGGGTGAAGCTTTAATGACGAATTTAACTTTACGTTCTATCGAGCAAAAATATCAAGCAGACTAAAAGACTAAAAGAATATCAGTCAGACTGTCAAGTTGCACAGCCTGGGGCCATCTATTTTCATATTGCAGAATTTATATGATTATCTGAAACGTACCTGAACAGTATTTAAATGGTTATTTCTATTTCCTGGTTTTGTTTAATTTTCAATTTATTCAGACGAGTGAATATGTTCTAACATTTTGCATGCGTAAATTGGTGCAAGGTCACGGCTGACGTTCCGCCCGTTGGCAAGCAACAACAGTCATCCTCGCTTTCAAAAATAAGAATGGGGGAAAATGCGGTTGTAAATAAAAACCAAACTGCCAGAGCTTTTAGCTTCATGAGGCAATAAAGTCATCCATATCGATGACATGGGTTGGTCGTTAAGTCGGGAATTTTTAAAAAGCCTCAAATCACGATATTCCGAGTTTATTAACGAGCTGAAAACTTGATAATCGGGTAGAATTTTTAAAAAATAACAATAGTGGATAGGGAAGTTAAAAAATATACGCTCATTAGAGTTACCATATTCAACACCAGCAAGATAGTCAAGTATAGTAGAACCGACGATCTAACGAACGTGACATTTTTAATTTTGAGCCGACATTAATTTTTAATGATATACCGGGTGACACAAGAATGTGGGAGCACTCTATAACTTTTAAACGGCTTGAGATAGTGATTTGAAATTTGGAAGGGTTAATATAGGCTGAATGTCCAAGTTTCGAATTTTAAATGGCACAACGTATACTTTTTTGCATTTTTGGTTTCAGAAGATCATTCTATATATTCTCTTTTTCTTTGTTTTTTTCTTTTTAATTTTTGAAAATTGTATCTAGAAGGTTGTGACGATCATAAATACTATTTACCGGCACACCTGATCATAGGAAAAATTGTAAATGAACTTTTCTGTACTGTTTAATAGCATATAGCATTTAATGTAAAGAACTATTAATTTTTTAAGATCTAGTTTTTCCAAATAGCACCCTAGTGGGAACAAAAACTTTTTAAAACCAGTGCTTTTTTTGCAACATTTTGACACAAAAATTTTCCAAATCCGTTAAAAAATAAGCACACAGGAAGGAAAAAACCAAATAAATAGATACATTTTTATAAAAACAAAATATTACTTAGGTGGCTTTGCTTGTATTCATTATTAATTGTCAAGTCGGTAAGATTAAAAATGCAGAAGAAACTCTCGACAAGCTCATACAGTGGAAAGAAAAAAACAGATTAGTATATAAAAGAAAATCATGGGAGAGTTTTTTCTGAGATTCAATGAATGGAATTTTTTGTTGAAAATGTGTTTTATGGTAAAAAGTTGATATGCTTCTGGAAAACGGGTCAAAAACTAACGTAAGTATTGTATGTATACGTACGTTATAAGCTACAAGCACGTTTTACCTAAAACTCAGAAGAACAAGAGAATAGAAAATTTTTTTCTTTTCAAATCTGTCACTTTTTGGGATAACTCAACAAAATATTTTGAAAATCTTTTACAAAAAAACAAAACCTCAACAATGTCGGTAGAATCGATTTGAAAGTGGTATATCCACATGTGTTACTGTAAGACAAGTTTTACATTGACACAAAACATCACATTCATTTATTTTGGAACTGGAGTTTTGTATTTATTTGAATTAAATAAGTGCGATTTTTCAAAATGTCGTCCTTCTTGTATATAATACCTCCTGACTCTAGAAATTACATTCGCTCTAATCCTTCATAACATTTCTGGAGTTATACTATCAAATGCAACCGATATTCTCCGCTGTATTTCTTGTAGGTCGAACACTGGAGTTACATAAACACGGTCTTTCACATACCCCCAAACAAAAAAATCTAAAGGTGTCAAGTCCGGTGACCGTGGGGGTCAATTCACTGGACCGTATGTTGAGATTAGTCTATCCACAAAAGTCTTCAATTTCATATCTTAGGAATTGTAGATATCGTGCACCAATTGAGGCACCATGAAAAAAAAACAGATCAAATAATAATTCGCCTTCCTATCACTCCTGCCCAAACATTGATTCGGAACCGTTCTTGATACTGTCCGTGATTATTTAAAGAAAATTACGTTAAATAAATTATTATTCTCGTCATGTTTATCTAACAGCCAATTACAATATTGAAATCTTCTTACAAAGTCAGCTTCATAAAAATGTTGAAGGTTATACTTAAAAGAATGATAGCCGTGTTTTTTTAAAATTCTCCTCACAGATTCTCTTGAGATGTCTAATTCTAATACTATTTCTCTTAGCGACGCAACTGGATTTACTTTGACGTATCCCACAACATTGATTTCCATTTCTTCACTTACAATAAAATTATCATATAGATTATTTAGAATTTCAATTCCAGCTTTCTAAAGAAAGAATGTGCAGGAAGGCGTCGTCTCGGATAACGGGCTGTCGAGATTTTTTTCTGCATTCCCCATATATCAGAAATATATCCACTTTTTCTCCATTCGTAAATTGATAATTGTTTTCCATGATAATCCAAATCGATACCACGACAAAATCGATAATCAGATAGAAATGTATACTGTCAGAATTTTCAATCATGCCGAATTGATGAATATAAGCAAAGCCACCTAAGTAATATTTTGTTTTTATAAAAATGTTTTTATTAAATGTATTTTTTAACAGATTTTGAAAATTTTCGTGTTAAAATGCTTCAAAAGCGTACTGATTTTAAAAAGTGTGTGTTCCCACTGGGGTGCTATTTGAAAAAACGAGGTTATTCTGAAAAATTAGACAAGTATAGAAAAGTTTCATTTACAATTTTTTCCATGATCAGGTGACCCGGTTAATAGTAATTATGGTGGTCACAGCCTCCTAGACAGATTTCCCAAAAATTAAATGAAGATTTTAAAAATCAAAAAAAAAAGAGGAAAATCGTCCTATCCTATATAGAATGATCTCCTAAATCCAAAAATCAAAGCGGAAGTGCCTATATTAACCCATCCAAATTTCAAATCGCTATCTCAAGCCGTTTAAAAGTCGTAGATTGTTCCCACTTTCTTGTGTCACCCGGTATACCGCAGGTCTCCGGTGTAACCCGGATTGAGTCTCATTGTGTGAGTGCGTTTGAGTACATGTTTTTGGATGTGCCGCATTCTTAATTTATGTATCCAAAAAATTGCTTTTTTAGGTCTGCTGATTCCCATGTTGGCGAAAAATGCGAATATTTTGAGATAACGGCTTCAAACTTTAATTGAATCATGTAGTAGAGAGCGGTGGGTATTGAGATGATATTTTGAGAAAGAGAAAGGCTGATCAATGTGCCATAATATGTCTATTTCGTTTTTAGTAGACCAAAAAAAAAGAAATTGGAGGCTTAGCCGATAAGTTGATCCAACTTTTGTAAATGTAAATTAAAGTTTAGGAAATTAAGTTTAGGAACTTGTTCAGGGTTCCATTATGGTTCCATCATTGTCGATGTTTCTTTGATCATGTGCACTTATGACTACGGCTAGTTTTGCCAATGGACGAAAATTATGGAGAACACTATCAACAAATTTGTGGTTCTTGGTGTGGCGCTCTTATTTTAAAAAAAAGTTAATTAAAAAGACTTTGAATTTGATTCATAAATTTGGCATTTAAAGATTTTAAAGACTTTTTTTTGGACTATCAATTTAGGACTATAAACAAAAGATTAAAGGTATTATCTGATTCATGATAATAACCACTACTTCAATTTGTTCTATATCTTCCATTTTTTTTTATTTTTTATTCCTCTCTGTTTTTATATTTATTTATTCTCGATATCATCTAATCTTATACTTTTTTTTGTATTTAGAAGTGCTGAAAACATACTCTGTTTAAAAGACCGAAATTTTACTGCCGCTGCGTCACTTTTTTATACGAATTTTTGCAGTGTTAGTACATTGTTTATCTTGAGTACGTCCATACACATAGAGCTAATATTCACAGAACTGTTGTCGCCCTTAACGTAGCCGAGCTATTAATCAACAGATAATTTATTTAGGCCCAAAATTTCA